AACATATTTTTTTTTCTAAATTAAGGCCAAACTTGTTTTCTTGTTTAAATTAAGACAAATATGTTTTCCTATCTAAATTAAGACATCACATATTTTTTTGTCTAAATTAAGATAAATATGTTAAAGCGGTCATTTTTATATATAATTTAATTAATCAAATAAAACATGCATTCTTACTTAAACAAATTGAATTCTATGAAACTAAGTGGAGAATCTATTTGGACATAGATATTCGAAGCTCTAATAAACTTATAATTATTCTTAATCTTATTAAAATAATTCAAGCTTATTAACCTTGAAATCACTCCACCATAGATTCATGTTGCACTCTTGGATAAACTATAATTATAAGAAATAATTCAATACTTGATATTAATTATTAGTTGTCCAATTCCAAACATTATATTATGAAACGTCGTAACCATCCAATGACAAAATGTGAAATTATCATTTTACCCTTTATGTCAATTTTGTCCTTTAGTCTCAAATTTCATCCAATTAATAATTCAATACTCTAGATCTAATCATTTCAGTATCCAAATGTGATGAGTAGCTAATTCATTAATCCGTTAAACCCAAATTAATCACCAATATTCTTGAAATCACTAGGAGTGATGTTAATACTATGAACTCTATTATTTGGATATATGTTCCTAGACGTTCATCTTGATTATAATCCCAACATATGGAGTCTAGATCAACACTTTATGATGTTCATGCTCATGGTATATCAAAGATTATAAAGAGATTAAACATAAGTCAACCATCTATCAGGATTTCAGTTCTACTATAAGCAAATACATAAGTGTGAGATCAAGATTTAAGTAACGGTTAAACTTAAATTTGATTCTCACATGATTCTAATTCATGTTATTGTTTCATTACTCGAAGTCTACCATTTCGATAATTTGAGACTCATCATTTCCTTGAAGTGAATAACATTCGTTTCATTGGAAGTAATTTGGACATTATAGCTTTAATACAATAAAGTGACTAGTTTTATTATATGGTTATGAATAATATTTAGATTCAATTAAAATACATGTCTTCTATGTATGAATCTTCATACGAATGTATTTTAATATCTCAATAGAATCATGATACCTTAATAACTAGCTAATGAATGCTAACCCAAAACAAACTCTTCGTCTTATTATCAAAATGTACGTTAATTACAAATAAAATTAATGAAACTAAATATGAGAATATACTTGTTTTCCATGGCACTATATCCTCAAAATTTCTAACAGTGAAATCTAGAGATTGGTGTCTATCTCAAGAGTGATTTTGGTGCTATTCTCATTAATGACACCAACAAGGAACCTCAAGGTTGAGTGAGACACATACAAGCTTGTTGTTAAATGCCATATAGATTTCTCATCAGGTTTAGAAAAATCAATAAAAGGACTGAGAATGAAAATAGCACATTGAGATCACATTTAGGTGTTATTTTCTTGCTACACAGTCACACTAAGATCCATTGTCGATAGTATCACTAATACTTGTAACTATGGATTGGTCATATGTTAATAAAGAGTATAATTGGCTACTAAAATTCAGTATTAGATGTTTTTGTTGGACAAGATTAAGGGCTAAATATTTTTTAAATTGTGACCACATCAAAATTACATAAATCGGTTTGGAGTCTTGTTTTCTAAAGTGTTTTCTTAAACTTAAAATAAACCCCAATTAGTATTATCGAAGTGGGAGAATGTTAGAATTTTCTAATATGTGGGCTACTATTAATTGGTAATTTCAGTTTAATAACATAGATTGATAATTTAGTCCTAATGTGAGGCAAAGCATGAGAGCCCAATTAATATTAAAATGATCTGTAGATGATGGGCTTTACACGTCTTATTAGGTCAGTGTGGTTTGGCAGCTGTGTAGGTCCTGGCCCAATAAACCTTTAATGGGGATGCTTTTACTAGGATTTATTATTTATATATCTAGCTAGGTCCTTTCTTCAGTATTCACTTCTAACAAACAGTCTCTGCCTATTGTGAGCCACCAAAAAAGAAAAGAGTAAAGAGGAAGATCTAGCCTCTACCAGTACTTCTTTGATATTATTCTCAAACAAAAAATGGCTACTCTAACGAATCAAACATGTACGCAATTATAATTCTATGACTTTTGGTGTTTTAATCTTCATATGTGGATCTAGGGCTTAAAACTTACATTCTCAACTTTTTCATGTAAAGGATCTTGAATGGAACAATTTGCAATGGAAATGCCGCACGTTGACTCAAAAATTGGTGCATTAGAGTGTGCTGCATCAAGTGAAATTGCAACAGCCACCCTAATCCCAAACACATACATGTGAGAGTGACTTGTCTCCACCCTCCAATTACTTGAGATCAAGCCTGCAACTCAAACTCTAGTTAAGAAGATGCATCCTCACCATACATCTAAAATAATGTAGAAGTATATATTTCCTATAACAAGTTAAAAACAATTACCATTCATATATTAAGGGAAAAAATGAATATATTTAAAGTAACCATTGTCAAGATTTAATGGATAAATCAACAAAAGTTCATGTCCACTAACCTATCAAGATTTTTGTCCACAAAAGCAACACGTCTCTCTAAACGCTTATGTGTGTAGTTGAACACTTCAAAAAATGTAGCTGATCGTTCCAACTCAATTGACTAAATTCATGTACAATAACACTCAATGAAACACAAATTTAATTTTTCATATAAGAAATTATAATTTAAACTTTCTTATGGATTGTAAATATAAAACACTGTAATTTAAAATTTTTAAGGATTTCTAATTTATTATAAATATTAATAGGATTTATCCAATTTATAAAGTAAGAATTCTAATTGCATTGAGTGGCTTTCATTAAAAAATATTTTTCATAATTCTAATAGTATTGAATTTTATATAGACTAATATTATACAATTTTAATTATAGATTATTGAAACATGAATGATCTTTTATATATAATTTTCTTTCAATGATAATTATTTTTTATTTGTAAAAAATTAATGGAAATATTTGTATTTTATATATAATTGTCATTTAAAAATAAATAAATTAATATCTACATGCAACGCAAATAACAATAAATACTAATATTTCTAAAATGTTGCAAGAAAGTAGAATAAAAAGAAAAAGATAAAACGATACCTTTTTATGGAAAATGCTAATTCAATAAAGGAAGATTAAGAAATTACATGATAAAAAATATTAGGAGGTAAAGAACCCCCCCAGAACTGCTGACCGTGCAACTCACAACCCTGTCGGGCTAAGTTATGGACCAGACTATTTGCTTCACGGGGATACATGGAAAAAAGACACAAAGTCACAGAAGAATGCCATCTACTTAATATCCTCCACAAGCACATGCACCACCATCCAGCCAACTAAATTGAGTCTTATTAATGTCCTGAATCCATGTTGCAGTGAAACCTGCATCCCAAATCGAAGCATGCACTGCCCTACTCAGCTGAATCTCCCATGCATGATCTCGAATGGCTATTCCAAGTGTAGCAACCCTCCTTTCCACAGAAATTTCGTTTCTTATTAATGTACTTTCATGCCTCCCAATTATCGTTCAAACATTTATTCAGCAATTTGGTAGCAGTAGCTACAGCTAAACAGCCACCCTCGTGAAAACATCTACTTGGGTAAGACCAAATCATCCATAACACCAAAAGCTTGCTGCTTGTAGTATTTAGTTGATCGAAAACTCAAATAAGGAAATCTTCAACTGATCTCTAAGTCGGAAAAAAGGAAAAAAGCATAAAATGATAATACCCAAAAAAAATATAGGTATAATGCTTAAATAAATCTTTAAATTATTTTAAAAAATTCAAATAAACTCTTATAATTAATGATTGATTGATTTTTGTTAATCAAAATACTTTTTTTTATTTTATATTCACATAACTCTAACATAACGTTGATGTGAAAGTTGAAAAATATCACAAGTTATCATGTTAAATTAACATATTACTTCATCATCAATTATAATATGTCAAAGTATTATATCATCATTAATTACAATAAGTTAGCATGCTACATTAGCGCCATGTAATATAAAATAAAAAATAATATTTTAATTAAGTCAATTATTAATCATAAGTGTATATTTGACTTAAAATAAAAATTTAAAGACTTATTTGATTTAAAATAAAAATAAAAAAACTTAATTGAATACAATAAAAATTTAAAAACTTAATTAAATTTTTTTAACTAGTTTAAGAGCTTTTTAGATATTATGTAAAACATATATATATAAAACTTAAACAAAACCCATTAAAGGAATCTCATTTATAAGCCCAGTGTCACGGGCCGACAACAACCCTTGACACTTAATTGAGGGGTCCAACACACTTGTGTTGGGGATGGGCTGTAAAGGGGCCTATACACGCACTTTCACGTCCTGCAATCTTGTGTGGAAGAGTTCGCTGATTATAAAAAGTTATGGGGGGATTAACCTAAAACAATTTCAATAAAGGAGGGCAATTATTTGCATTTTCGGCGCTCTTACGTGGTGTCGCATGTTTGGGCATGTTTAAGTGCCATAACATGAGGGAATGCCATGTCAAAAGTTGAGACTCACGTGATGACCGTTTGACATTTTGGATTCTCAAGTTGCAATTTTCCACTATGGACTCACCCTGTGGCCTACACTTTGTTTGTTTGTCCCTCTCTCTCCCTCTCAAAATGGGAAAATAAAACAAAAGTCAGTTCAGAAAACATGGCTATGAAGGAATTTATCATTTTTTTAATACCATGGAGTTCAAGGAAAGCCTCGCCAAATTATAGTGCAATTCTTGAGATTGTATGATTTCTTAGTTTTCATCTTCACCAATGCCGAGGATGTGCCTAACATGTATAGATCTCCTAATAAACTAGGCACTCGGCAAACGTGGGTTTGGGATGTATGTTCCTTTGGGTTTGTAAACAACTACACATGTTGAGGCCCAATCGATCATTGCCTATCTATTTTTGTTAAAGCAACGTAGCCATGCGATAGTCAAAAGAACAAAATGACACACATCTCAAGAGAAATAGACTAATGTGTCAAACTCTCAATTACTAAACTAAAAAAACAGGTGAAAGGGGGGAAAAGGTTTCGCAATATTAGCTGTCCCGCAAGATATAATGCCATTCAAAGATGTATACATGTTTTTTCTTTTACATGTAGGACGAGAGCGATTGTTGATCAATGATCAGTGTTGTTGGGAGGGTTGGGGAAAAGGGGGTTCCCGTAAAGATAGCATTTCTTACTTTTCTTCGTCACTAGCTGCAGTGGCAGAAACGTAATATGCAACAGAAAATAACCCATGAACAAAACACAAAATTCCTCCAATCGACAGGAAATGATGGTGCGTGAAACCACAGGATGCCTTGGATTTGTTGTTTGATAATATCCCTATCACCAGAGTGGACAACCCAACGGCTAATATGATCCTGATCAACCACAAAATATATGAAATCACACCAAAAATAACTATTACTGCTACCACTACTATTAATTATTCACGTTGTTACTCAGTGTAATTCCGATGCTAACAGTGCAGAGTAAGCAAGGAACCATTCCAAGGAAAATCTGCTTACCAGGTGAAAATGAGACATGCCACTGAAAGTTGCCTGTTAGGGGATGCTCTCTGGAAATCTTCTTGAGAACAGACACACATGCAGCCACCAAGCAGGTTAGCAAGAACATGGGCTAGAGTCAACAGCGCTGCGGCACCCAACGCTAGCTTGAACGCGTCATGGCTTGGGTCCCTGCACTCAAATATCCACAGCCTTAAGTGCTTAACCTGTCAAAACAAAGCAAGAAAAACAAAAAACCCTCATGAGCACAACTCACATAATTGCAATATCTACTTTTTGCCATGTAATTAAAAGGTAGTGTTTTCAAGGCACCTTGTTTTGTGCAACTTCTGCTTGGATGCCAAGAATACCTGCTGCAACATCCATGGCCACAATCAGAAGACAAACGAGAACGCCTCCGAGTTTAAGCATTTTTTTTTTCTAATGATATGGAGCACTTGAAGATGGTTCCAAGAAAGAGAAACAAATGGCAAGTTCTTTGACAAGGAGACGATGGGAAGAAAGGTTGAGGGAAGTATATATGTGAAATGGGATTAGCTGCTCTAAGAAAGTAAAGAGCTTCTTTTGTCAATACAGTGCTCCACTTTAGTTTGCTTTGCGCGTCTTCTTTCGCCCTTTCTTTTTTTTTTCTTCTTCTCTCTTCTCTATTGGATTCCTTAGATAGGGGAAGAAGAAAAAGTAGGGTATAAACCAGCTCATAGAGGAGCGTGCATTGGGCATGTAACGATGGCCCATAAGTGCTCTTTGAATCGTTTTTTGACTTTTAATCACGAATCAGCAGAAACGAAGCACCATCTCAATTTATTGCTCATCCCGTAAGTGAACATATACTACTAGTATTATGTGGTAAATGTCAAGCATATGAACTATTATTTTGGTGTTTTACAGTTTCAAATTCTATTGGAGTTTATTGAAATAATCACATCCTAATTTTATTATACTAATTGCGTAAGCCTTGGGGCCTTTGGAGTGTCTAAAGCTGATCAAAGTGGTCGTGGCAGTGTGGCACGTTCAGGAGGGCAACCGTGAGAAGGTTGGAATAATTGAACGTGAGCCAGCCATGTCCTACGTCCATCTGAATTAAAACAAAATAATAAAAAATAGTGATGAGAAAACTCGAGTGGTTGAGTACTTGCCTTGATACCAAGAGGTCCAAAGTCCAAGACCGTGTTTTACAGGAAACTCACGTTCATGATCCATCTATTTAGTTCAATTCAAGGAAAAGTTGTGGACCCCTGAGGATCAGAGAGGTACCATATAAATCCTGAAAAGATTGTAAGTAGAGCTCAAAATCGGTGGAGCTGTATCCCATTTTTTCAAACCTTGTTCAGTATATGCCCATCTCATCTTGTAAAGAGTTCACACTATAACAGTAAGTACAAATATTAAGTTGTGCACTGTACTGGTTAATTCGATGCATTTGATTTTAAAATTCGTTATTGCCTCACTGGAAAGTACTAGCACTAGTAATGTAATTTCATTTTGAAATGCCCAAATCTCAAATCCCCAACAAATTTGTTGGGCTTCAGTTTGTTTTAAATTGCAGTTGGCAGGACACCTTGGGAGCTAGTGACCATATTGGGCCATGGAGTAGAATGACACAATTTGGTCCAGGAAGGGGCCAGGGAGATGACCAAAACAGTAATGAGTCTAATGGCGAAAGGGAGGAGCATATGAGCCCAGCAGCAACCAGCTAATGAAAATTGAGCTAAAATCTGAAAACCCAATGAATCAACCTCAGTCCCACAGGGCTGTGCAAGCAATGAGCAATCAAACTCATTTTTCAATCCTAGCAAATTAAGCTTAACCGAAGTACTTTTAGACATATATGGAGTCAGTTGCTCAAAAACGTATGACATGGAGCGAGCAATCAGGATTAGATAATGTGAGTGACTACTACTACTAGTCACCGAAATGCAAGGAGAATATCAGACGAGCGTGAGCCTGATCAAGATTTCAGTCCCGTACTCTCATAACACACGAACCTCAGTCACATGTTCATCAACTTTCCCACGCACAAAGCAATTCAGTCGCAGCTCAAGTTGTCACTTTCACTCCTATCATATCAAACCAAATCAGGATCTACAAAGCCTTCAACTCATGCTGCTCATTGGTAGTAAATTTTCCCCTTTAAGCCATTACTTTTTGATGCATAAAGTAAAAACGTCAGGATTCAGGAGCACGGGCAGGGCCATATGAATCTCAAGTTGGTCCCGGAATTAATAATCTTCACAAGTTTCCTCATTAGTTCAATATGAGATAATTAAAGAAATGAAAAACAGAATAAAAGCCCAGCAACCATCACCAGAACAAGTGAAAATTGAAACAGAAGGTACTCATTCCATTGCATTGATTTAATCCCTGTACTGTAAAAGTATTAAAACTTAAAAGTCCATGCACATATAATCCTAAAGATTTCAAATCTAACAACAAAACAAGAAAATCCGTAAGCCCATACATATCCTGCCTCCGTTTTTATCACTTAGTTACCAAAGAGAAACTGTTGGAGCACCGCTTTCCTCTCCTTAGCCTTCTTAAGCGAAACCAACTGCTCATAAGCAAATACACAAAATCCCTGTGAATAAAGCATGGTTTGCGCAACCGGAGAGTTAACCAGCACCTGCAAAAGCTGCTGTCTGTTCAGCCTTCCCAACCCACCATAATCGAATCCAACAGGAGCATTATGTTCAGTAGCTGCAAAGCTTGAACTTATCGGCATTGATTGGAGAATGGAGACTTGAGCTTCTAAGAACCGGATATATTTATAAGCCTCTTGGAGCATGGTGCCAGTGTCCATCTTCTTGTCCCATGGCATTAGCTTTTGAAGACACCGTGTCTTGTCGCTTAGCTTTTGCCTTCGTTTCCGAGCTAGCTCACTGTGTGGGATCACTGGAGAAGGAGAGTTGAAGCTTTGGACTATGGAGTCGAGGGTTTGAGGGTTGTTGTCAGAGAGGTTTAAGTCGAGTCGAGTACGTTTCAGCTTCCGAGTTGATGAGGAGGCGGAAGGCTCAGTGAACCGGGGTTGGCGGTGGGGTTGTTCGAGTGAGTGGAGGTCTGGTAAGGGTTTGTTAAAGAAGTCAAGGAACTGAGTTGAGTCAGGGAGGATGTCTGGGATTTTGGGAGGGAGTGAAGAGGAGTAAAGGGAGTCGAGATCAGGGATTGGGAGTTGAGGTTCGAGGGGAAGAGAAGGGAAGTCTTGGCTGAAGAAGTTGAAGGTAGAAGGATCAGAGGGTAGAGGGAGGAGGGGTTGGAGATTGGGGTCGTTGAAAATGGAGTTGAAGTTGGCTTCATAGGAGGAGTTGATGCTAAACTCGGCGCTGAAAGCAGAAGGATAACAAGGATGAGTGGAACCAAAACCTCTCTCCATTTTCATGCTGTTTATATCAGAAACAGAGAAGTGGTAGCAATGGAAATTAAGAGAGGAGAGAGGGAAAGTGCAGAATGAAACATAGCAGCGACGCTGAGTATAACAAAAACGAAAATGGGAATGTAAGTGTCTTGAGGCTCACGCACACAGGGCCGTTATGAGGACGGGGACACGTGGGGGTTTGTTATTGGATGGCGAGGGTACGAATGCTGGCAATGAGTGCAGGCGGCGACACGAGAATCAAGGATGATTGGGCTGGGCTGGTCTGGGCAGGGGTTTAACTGACACGCGGGCGTCAGGTCTGAGGTTGCCGCTGCTCTGTCGATTGTTTGTCTCTCGGGCTCGGGATATAACAGGTAATCGGAGACGCCCTTGAGAATGAGATTGATTGCTTACTCTTTGGCATTGCTGTAGTTTTACTAGAAAAAACAAGAGAGAGGTACAAGCTTAGCGTCTGCATTGCAGAGTAGAGCAGTCGCGCTTGCTGGGAATTGGGATGGGACGGACGGGTTCAAAACGTGAAACCGAAAGGACAAAAGAGGATTAAGATTAAACTTGAGCCTTCGATTACAGTTGGGATTAGCTGGCTTCAGATCATCCCTATTCCCTGCTTCAATTTACTATCATCCTTGATTGATGCTTTCCATGTAGAATTAAATTAAAAATACCTCGGCGCTTATTATTGAAAATGTGCATGACTTTCAGCACAGTTTTCTATTTAACCCAAAGGCACGGATAGACTTGGCATTAACCCGTATCTTTATATCTTAATAGTTTCATGTTAATATATAATTATTTAAATAAATACGAACATAACATAGGTCAACATATATTCACGTCATCATAATAACTGTGTAATATTATACGACTAACACGTTTATTACACGCATACAATGCAATACAATACGATTAATAAACACAATTGAAACGATTAATATAAATTTTATCCTCATTAACTTAAAATATTTATATTTAAATATAATTTTATTATTTAAATTTAAAATCATTAATTATAAAAATAATTATATCAAATATAGTAAAATTTTAACATAATACAACTAACAAATATAATAATAAAATAGTAATTAGACTAAATTAATATTTAACTACTAATTTTAACGAATTGATAAACATGCATTTAAATACAACAATATAATTAATTAAATGTATTAGCCCTATCTGTTACGATTAAAATATGACAAGTCTAATCTCCGTTACGTTCAAAATTGCTGTGGCAGCCTCATTGGGAACCGTACATTGCGAAATTGGTCGTCTAAATAGTAAGAGAAATGAACCACTCAAATTTATGATTTACCCAGCCTCATCATCACGGTGGGACATAAATCTCATGCTCAACCTCTCATCATCAATTACAATCCTACAAACATTTCTCTGGAAAATTCGGTATAAGATAAAAGAGGCAAAGACGAGGAATGGTGAAAAACAGCCTCGAGATTTTCTTTCCTTTTCATCATTTCCTTGAATTTAAGAAGAAGAAGAAGAAAAAAAAAACCAATGCCCTACTACAAGAAAATGAATTAAAAATACAAAGATGAAAACTGTACATAAGAATGAGGAGAAAGCGGCACAAGAAATATGATGTTTTGGAATGATTACCAACTACCACACTAAGGGGTAGCTGCGAACTAAAATTGAGAAATCATTCCAAAACATTTACAAAGTAATGGCTAATAATCCTACTGCCACCTTCCCAAAACCCCTACAAATGCTTCATCGATCCCACATCGCCTGGAATATTGCTGGTCTGTGCTTCAACCAATACATCATATCTCTGTCCAGTGGAGAATTATTTAAAACAGCATCTAGCATCGGACTGCCCAAAACTTTCAGACAAGTTTTGAATGACCATATTCGGTCCTTTGGCCAGGGTCTCTGAGGTTGCTTCTCCTGCAAAAAGGACCATATCACAACAGGTAAGTAACCACAGTATCCGACAATTAAAAGATATCCTGCTGAGCTAATTGAATTGGCATATACCACTAACCAGTGCAATTCCTATACAGGGCAATATTCCTTCCAGTCAATCCTATTGATCTACTAACACGTTAATTGTGTGAATGCTACTTTACTATCTGTGATACAAAGGATAATTTACTACAGTCCAATCTGGCAAAACAAAGACAACCTGATCCACAACACAATCAAGGTCTGTCATTTCAAAATAGTATTAAATAGATTAGCTCCCTCCCCCACAAGTACATGTCACCATAAACCAACAAATTCTATGATGTACAGATGCATCAAAATCATCA